CTCGATCTGAGAGACCAACTTCCATTATCCTTCGCTTGAGGCTCCGCTTGGTGACCTCAAGCGAAGTATAATGGAAATTGGTCTCCCAGATCCCTAGAGGAACCGACCGTGTTTAACCTCTATGGCCGGTTGAGTGGAATGTTTCTCCAAAATGAGGGCTAACGATGTCAGCTCGCCAAATCAGCAACTAAGCTAGTGAGCGGAGCAGTTTTGAGGCGTCACGTTTCCAACTTGGGAGTATAGATCTTACCATAATTTCTCTCCTGAAGAACCTAATTCATATATGTACGTTTCCTCTTGTGACCCTGAATACTTCATTAAATGCTTTTTACATAGTGGTACTATTCTAGGAAGGTTCTAGCTTCACAAATACTGCCTGGTCGTCACTTTTATCCCACTGATGCGCCTAAGGAGTGGCGATCAAAAAAGGTTCGTCTGGTATAGAGGCGAAATGGACCACTTCTCCTTGTCACACATTCCCCTTAAATCTATAATTTTTCCTTTTTTTGAAGCCTTACTCCAATGCAAAAACCCATCTAGAGCCGCGAAACCGCCACATTTCACTTCCTTGGCCTCTTGTCTGTTGGGTACAGTGGGGCAAGTAATCCCTGGTTAGCAGCCGCACTCTTGTAATCACCTTCTTCGAAGGAGGGAAATGAGATGAACAACGCTGATTCTACAAAATCATGAATGCTCATGAAAGCAATCACACTGAAGTTACAACTTTGAAGTAAGACTAACCATAAGCCAGGATCCCTTGTCCGTTTTGAGCGTAAATCTATTTTGTAGTTTGCTCGCAAGCTATGCAAAGTACTCTTCCCCTTTCCTCGAATGAGCATATACCAAACTCACTTTCTTTATCTTGATCCTGAGAAAGGCACACAATGAACATTAGTACTGAAGTTGAGGTGATTTGAAGAATTGGAGATATCCGGGAAAGGAACAGCAGAACTTCTCCTCTGGTCGATTGCATATAGTCAACTTTGGCTTGAGCCATGCACAACACAAACTAAAAGTGAAAAGAGTTTGAAGATGAACCAAAAAATCCATTATGACTGGTCTCTTTCTCAAAAGTCTTAATGTTAAAGGCTGCCTCAGGGTCCGACTATGTGGTTCTCGCAAACGAATATTAGAGTAATGGCGTGAATGGGGTTCACACAGCTTCTGTCTGGGCGTGCCTTTAATGTATGTTGTTTAATCAGATGTAGTATATGTGAATCTTGTCACTCGCCACGCTGGCAAAAAGAGGGATATCTTTTTCTTCATTTTTGTCGGGTACCATGAAAGTTCGGTTCTAAAGAAAATTCTATCCATACTTCTCCGTTGATTACACAACAAAATCCAAAGTGTCCTCGTATCTCACTAACGTTGAGGTTAAAAGAAGATAAAGTAAATATACAATGGTGAGCACCTTGATGAGTAAGCCCGCCAACACGATGGCACGGAGACACGCTTGCGGAAAGATCTTCATCTCCATCACTCGCAACAACGATGGAAGCGTATTCCGAGGTTGCATCCTTAGCTGGAAATCATGTTTTACTCATGTTCAAATACTCTGGAAATTGCTTCGAACATGTTGAAATATTTTTTGAGCTTTCCAAACTTTCGACTATAGCGAGATGTAGGATGTTATTGTTGCGGGGTTGATCTATGAAACAACATGTGCTATATGAGTCGACAACAAATATCAAATGCAGAAGAACCGCTGAAGGCTCCCTGAATCAGGTTACTTCTCGATAGCTTGCTTACAGCCACTGCATGGCCTATAGCACGAAATATGGTGCGTTTCGGACAAGAGACTGTGATGACGAATGGCTGAGAGATGATAGGGATCACAGAGACGCAGACAAGGGCAGTTTGAGAACAATTTTAAACGTGGATGGAGAATATGTAGGCGCGAAGCGTTTGCAGTGATATATGTCCCTGCCACTGCAGTGCGGTCTACTTCATAGAAGACGGGATTGTAAGATCAAGGAAATTGTGGATTGCTCTTTTGAAATATTGACGACGGTGCTCGTTCTAGATTTTAAGCCCCCTGGGCCACGCGATTCCGCGAGCGAGGATGCCTCTTTTCACATCAGAGGATTTTGATCGGCGAATATGACTATGGATGGAGCAAAATAATCTCAGAAGTGTTGTTTTAGCAATAGTGCCCTCGGCAAGACGCTGTAAGGTGTTGGATATCCGCCAAGTTCGGCCCGTCCGCCTCACTGCTAGCCATGCAGATCGCTCGCAACGTGGATTACGACGTAGTGGATAGGGTAGCCGATAGATACTATAGATACGATACACGGGTTACACCCGGATCATCTAAGCTCGCCTGGACATGTCCTTCCTCGTTTTAAGATGGAGGACAGGATTCCTTTTTAAGGGTTCCATAGGCGGTTCCTCCCCTTTTTTCATTTTCAGTTAACTCGGTATCCACAATTTTATGATCGACCGCTGTTACCCCATCAATTTTATTTGCGTTTGTAGCTTAAAGCAATAATACAATACTAATTTCGCCGTTCATTCAGGTTTACACCTACGAGCTTTTCAAATGAATGATTACGAAAATATACGAAATAGAAAGAAATCAAAGGATGAAGTAAATGAGAACATCTTAAGGCTTGGGAAACTATGCTAAGCCAATATCTGTCTATTTTGCGAACAACGATTTGTAGTATTAGTTAAGTAAAATTGAGAAAAAAAATATTTGAAATCCAGCGAGGCCACGCATCGCGGAACAATTATTTACATCGACGTGGCACAAGAATTACAGTCTTACGTGTTGCGTGGGTCCGATATACGTCTGTCGCGTCGGTCGCTTGCGTGGCCACAGAATTACGTCCTACGTGTTGCGTGGGTCCGATATACGTCTGTCGCGTCGGTCGCTTGCGTTTTGATCAACTGGCATGGAACTCTGGCTTCTTCATAATGACGACTCGTTGTCCTCAGCTTTAGCCGTCTAGTTAGGGGTATGTTGTCTGCCGGCAGTAGCAGTTTTGTACTTGGTTTCATTTAAATAATTGCTTGATGTGTTTTTGTTTGTTCCTTCGTTTATGTTCGACTAACACGAGTTTGGCTTTGTTGGGCGCACCAAAAGGGCAGCTTGTGTGTGTAAATAAATAAATAAATAAATAAATAAATAAATAAATAAATAAATAAATAAATAAATAAATAAATAAATAAATAAATAAATAAATAAATAAATAAATAAATATATTCACGCGGCCATCGAGAAGCATCAACATGTATGTTTCGCCCACTAAGGTTCACCAAATTTTTCAATCCACATGATGTTATCTGCTATTTGACATATGTATTCCGCAAAGACTTATGTAGACATATTCCGCATCTTGGGATTTGAGGAGTTCTTGACTTCCCAATCAAATGAGCGTTTTATGTGTGTCATCGCAACGCTGGCTGCTGGTGATAATTGTTCCAATTGGCTGAATCCATTCGACAGCAACTGATGTTCATTTAATCTTTCCAATCATGAAAATGAATGATCCTTAATACTTGTCGTAATTGATGCTTGAGAAAAACTGGTCATCGTGCGACGACGCAGCAGCTGATCGGCTTTGTTCTGTTCGATTTGCGATCAAGCTGCTTTTGAATCTCTTCCAGTAGTTCCACATAATCAGTCCTTTTCCGTAGTCGTGGAACAAAACGGTCAGGTTTTCCCTTGGCCGGCAAGCTCTCCTAGATTCTACTGACGCCTAGTTTTCGACTGCCATGGTCACCCTCAGACACCCCGCTTAGAAAACTGGTTGCACACTACCTGTTACAAAACTAGTCACTGGCTTATTGCGGCATCAACGACTAGCTTTGGTTTTAAAAGAACAAACCTGACAAAAATTGTAGTATGTGCTTCCGAAGTCGTAGCGGATCTGTGTTTTATTGTAAAGCAGATGAGAGAGGATGTGTTGGTTCAGGAGCAACATTCGCTCATGTAGATAGTGCCATTCGTCCATTTTGAACGATCTCGCAACAGCGGCTCTCTGGAAAATATACTTCATAGCTGTCTTAATCGCAAATGTATAATATATAATAATAATAAAATAATAATAATAATAATAATAATAATAATAATAATAATAATAATAATAATAATAATAATAATAATAATAATAATAATAATAATAATAATAATAATAATAATAATAATAATAATAATAATAATAATAATAATAATAATAATAATAATAATAATAATAATAATATAATAATAATAATAATAATGTAAGAAATTTTGAATCGTTTTAGACCCCACGCTCTTTCAAATTTCATGTTTCAGTTTTCAGTTCATTGCAGTGATATCTTCAATAACCATAACCCTTCCCGAACGCGCCACTTTTGCCGCGGCGGGGCGCGTGTGGCTGGCCGCCTTTTTATTGCTCACCGATTGCTCTGTTGAATTGCAATCACTTCATTATATAAACCAGAACTTTGGTGTGTCGGTTTGTCGGTGTGTGTGTCGTTCTGTCCGTCCGGACCGACCGCTCACAAAACCAGGGAGTACGAAGGGCAACACTTCGTGATGTTGATGTCATGATCATGATAAACCCACAGCGGCTATATAAACACCGATCGAGCACACTCAGTCTCATTCTACATGGTGCTGCCGTGGCAGCCGGATGAGCGGGGGGAGGGAGAGGGGTAAAGGGAAGGGGCAAGGAAAGGGGAGGCTGGAGAGGGAGGGGAAGGGGAGAGGAGAAAGGGAGAGAGAACATGGCGCTGCTATGCGCCGGAGAGAAGGGGTATAAGGAGGTATAACACATTCAATAGTGAGGTGGTTAATGGAGTACATCATGCTGCTATTCCGTGGTTCCTCCCTACCCTGTGATGCGCGCGATAGCGGGCGGAGCAAACCTGGTTAATTAATATATTTGTCTTGTATTTCCATCGAACACCATATTTATTCCCATTCCTCTATTTCGTCATGCTTCCGACGATACGCTATGTTGCTACTGTGAACTTGACAGTAAAACTGGTTGTCTTAACAACATGATGAGGGCCATAAAAAAAGAAGGGCATGAATGGAAAATACATTATACGAAGTTATACGAAATGGGGAAAAAAAGGGACCAGAAATGTTTGAAACTTTGGAATGCATCAGATACGACGTGCACATGATGGCATAAATACTGCTGTATGAAGCGTTTCCAAAAGATTTATAACTGTTTTTCCTTGGCTCAAAATGAAATCCATTCAATTTCTGCTTATTTTAGGATCTAGTTTGGGATGAAGATAGGTTTTTCCATTAAATGATCGCTGTTACATAGAATAACAACTCAAACACTTTTGTCGAAGACGGAATTCGCTCGAAGAGAATCAGCCTCCTTGAACACCCCATGGCGTGTCAGGCGGTCCCGGGAAACGATTTTGTTTTAAACAAACTGCTGCAGGTACACACAATCACTTCATGTCTTTTAAGGGTACCAATAACGATAGGATCAAGGAAAGTCTGGGGGAGACGTTGGTGATTGCTCAATTGGTACGTCCGATGTTGGCGAAAAAAAAAAACGGAAAAAATCCGGTCAAAAAAACGCACAAAGTTAGACGGAGATCCACTTTGGCTGCTTGGCTTTTCATTCACGATTCAGGTGACACTCAGAAAGCGGGTAGAAAGGCTTCGAGTCGCGTTTGAAACCCTCAGATTTTTTTGACCGACACGGCAGTGTGTTAGTTTCCATCAAAGCCACCTACTTAAAGGATGATTCCACTATAAGGACGAAGGTCGGGATAATTGAAACTTACTGAGTGGGAGTGCTGGGAGGAGGGTGGACCGACACAAACGTCTCCGGAAAAGGATGTGCTCCGGCGATCTAGCATGGCCTTCCACGCGGCGCTATCGACACGGTATGCCGACTGGCTAACTACTCGCGACGTCTCTAGCCGTTCAGCAAATAGAGCGTTAGCGCTGAAGAGGGCAACACCGACGAGAGTCGCATCAATGCGAAAATCAACGGCAAGGAAGGGGCTCTCCGTTTCTCCAGGAGTAGGAAAAGTTTTCTCGGTGTTTTCTCATTCCATGCATCACTGACCATCTCTAACTTATTTCCCAATAGCCTGCCTTTTCATCGTGAAATCCGCCCTTAAACCACGCCATCTAAGAACGTCCATCACCCGAGTTTTCTACAACAATTTACAGACACTGCAAGCTTCTCCTTGATAGAAAGCAGTCAACTTCGTACTGCGCGTAGTTTCATGCTATGACTGCACACTTTGCGGATTATTTCAGAAGACAAAAACGAAGCATTTCCTGCCTTTTTATCAGGACTGAAATAGCGACCTGATTTGATGGCGTGGATGATTTATGGTGTCTGCGTAATTTTTTGGCTTTTCATCCCTAGCGCTTCACATTTTTTTACGGAGAATATCGAAAAGTGATGGGTGCCTATAGAGGCCTCAAAGACATAAAGAAGGGGAATAATTTGGAACACATTTTGTTAACAATTTCAACTAGGTATTTAATTTCATTCATCATTATTCGAACACCGATCCACATCCCGCTGTTGTGGCTAGATACACGTTGTAGCGCCTTGAGCCTGCATAAAAGCTTTCTTTGCAGGCTCACCCAGGTAAACTGGTATGGTTTTTGTTCACGAATCTGTAAGTATTGGTGCGAGTGGGTGGGACAAGTAGAGAAAAAAGAAAAGAAGCCGTTGATAACGATAAAGTTAAAATTGGCTCCATTTTATTCGACTAGGCCGTGTTAAAGCGATGAAAGACTGAGCGTGTAGAGGAGAGGATGAGGAGTGAGAGCACAGCAAAGTTAGAGAGCGTGGATACCAGCATGCTGCGGAAGAGAAAACATAACAGCGGTTGAGGCCTTTGCGAGGCCCTATAGCCTTTGCTGTGCGCTTTAGATCCGAAAGAAAGGGACATCCGCCACTTTAAGGAACAGCTCTATCTTTAGAAAAGGATTTGTCCACATTAGCTCATCATGGGTAGTGCCTTTGAGAGAATGATCTACGCCAGGCTTTCCTTCCTTCTTCAAACTAATCCGAAAGTACGCCCTAAAAAGTGAAAAAAATACGTGGCTTGGGTTTCTTCGAAGGGTAAGCGAACTACGGGCAGGAGAGCAACCTTGTTTCAAACTTTTGGAAAAAAAATGCACAACACTTTCAGTTTTCGGCTTATCAAGAACTAACATTTATTAGTAGTCTTTGATTGTTGAGCGCTGCTTTTACCCGCGGTCCGCCGTGCGAAGGTTCACTAACGAATGCCTATCGCCCCAGTTGTGTCGAACACAACTTCACTGTCTCCCGCAATGACGTCCTGGAGTGCCTTCTTCTCGAAATCTTTCTAGAGAAAAGGCTTCGACTCTCTCATCCGATGCAGCTGTTCGACCAGCTCTGTTCCCTTGTATAACTCAATAGGCATGTCGCAGCAGGTCGAAATTAAGAGATACGAGAGTATATGAGAGCATTTCTAAGTTAGACGTGTAAGTGTGGGAAAGAACCAGCTGTTAACTGATGCGCCAAAAATGAAAAGAAAGCAGCCTGGCAATAAGATGAGGTCTCGATTGAGTAATGTGACGTCTCATTTTTTTGAGCCTTCCATCTTGACAAGCAGAGAGATAAACAAATATTTTGTGACTTGACAGAGAAACTCTACTCTGAGTCGTTGTAAAGTCGAGATATCGAAGAAATCGCTGCGAAAACCTTGAAACAAGGGCAACGTTTCCTATCCTGTCTTCGGCGGTACGGTCTCGGAGGAAATTCCAGTATGGCAGTGCTGAGAACGACTGTTCGGAGAAGTGCTACTACTTTTTGCTTCTTAGTCTCAAACAAATATAACACTCTCGTTATCCAATTATTTCTTTTCGCTGCACTGAATTTCCATGACCACTTTCCAATCCTTAGCAGTTAACCGTAACCTTCTGCCCACTATTTATTTGGGAATGAAAGCATAATATTAGGTACCGGATATCTTAGTGTCGCTTTTCTGAGTTCAGGAAGTTTTGGGGCCGATTACTATGGAAAATCAATATCCCAGAAGGCAGTTTTTGCTCATTAATATTGCGAAATATGTTGCTTACCGTCTTCTATTGTTGGTTCACAATTTAACTTTCCCCCAATTTTTATACTTTCTTCTGAAAATTCCTGGGTCCAGTGTGCAAATTCGCATGTGTGTACCAAATGCATCAAAATTCTTGCTGAGAGCTGTAACCTCCGCCCACCAAACCAGCATTGCATTTGATGGAGGGAATACTACCATTTAAAATGCTCATCGGTTTTTCACAGTTTTCTTAAAAGACAGTAAAGTCTTTGAAGGGATGCCCGCAACCGTCGCCAAAAAGGTGGTCCTAGCTAAATCAGTCAAAACGGGGCTGCACCAGTCTTGTGCTGGAATGGTAGGACACCCTAGCAGTTACTGATCGATGGTGCACAGACGCTCTAACGAAGTTGATTGACCAAGAAATTCTAATAAATGTGCTCATCTGCTACTCACGTGTGCTCAAAAAGGGTGCGTTTTTGACCCCATGTGGCAAAAAAGACTCCGGGAAAAATTGTCCAGTTGAGCTGGTAAGTAATAAATTTTCCACCAAACAGTGCAGACCCTACTCTAACTAAATGTATACATATTTTGTCCAGGCCCAACTGTTTAGCAAGGTAGAGGGATGATTTGTCAGATGATGTCAAATTCGACCTACCTCTCTTTTTCGTCTCAAAAAATTCCTAACTTTAATCGTACGAGGTTTTCACTCATACTGGTAAATGGGAAAGGGCTAATGAGTCATTCGATGGATATGCCGTTTCACTCACTGGATTTTGAATTAAAATATTGGTGGTCCGAAACTCGCGGTGAAAAAACGACACTAAGATATCCGGTACCTAATACAACATCGTAAGTGCTTGCAT